TTGACACCTGGTCTCATTGTGAATGTATAACTTTGCTGGTTCATTTTTCGTTCCCAGTTACACTACAGTTTGAATACAATTATTGCTACAAGTGTAGTACTGCATAAACTACCGTAGCTAAACTGTATTTGGAGGGGGAAAAAAAACTACCTCTAGCAGATTTCTGCTTCAGAAATCAAATCGATGCTGCAGTGTAACTCCTGTCTGCCTGCAGTCGGTGTCTATGCCAAGCCAACTTTCCATTTTAAAAAAGAGTGGAAAAGTTATTTGGGCGGCTTAATAAACCACCATTTGGCTTTATAATGTTTTGCACCCGCTTTCGCCACTGTAATATATTAATATACACTGTATTTAAAAAAGTGCCGGGTAGCAGAACGTTTATTTTATTTAATGTGCAGACCTTTTATTTGGGGATTGATCTTCGAGCCAGCCGAAATGTCTCAGCATCGAGACTTGTAATATAACTGAGAGTTTGAGGAGGTAAACAGCATGACTTCAGTCTAATATCGCAAAATCTTAGTTCCGAATTAAGTCCTGATAGTTATTTGTTTTATCCAATTCTTTATGTTTTATATACGTAATTGAACGATCCAATTTTTAAGCAACAGTGATGGCAGAGAGGGGGAGACCTTACTATCCCCGTCTTCAATGATCAGCACAAGCTTACATCAACGCTTGAATGTCATTTACATTTTGCCCCAAGTACAGTTAAATCCAATTTCGGTACATGTCAGAATTATACCATATGTGTGTATTTTTCTGGGTTCTCCTGAACTGTTTTTACAATACTTAAGGATACTCGTAATTTTACGGCCTGCGTGAGGTTTTTCAAATCAAAGGACTGCAGCTCCTTACTGAACTATCCGGTTCCATCATTATGGGTGTAAGTATGGAATCCCACTATCCACACCCTATTTTGACTATTTGCATTGTATTAATTTAGTCTATTTGTTTAATGTATCAATTCAATTCACCCTATCTAAACGTTCATTTATTCCACAACTTCATAGGCCTTACAAGCATTTATCCAAAATATTTTATCTATGGTTTGCACATTCTTAACCATCCTGCCTTCTATTTCTCCAAGATATATCAAATTATGCTAGTATTCGTCTATCCTTTTTGACACCAATCTATTGGCCTTTTTAATAAAACAGCTCTCTAATAACCCATCCTCTGTGTACCGTATGGTGTGCCCTATTTTCAAATTCACTCCACGAAGCTATTGCTTAACAAACTTTTTTTGTGAAACGAGGAGTCAGCCTCAATATGACAATTCAATTAGCTTTCAAAGGCGGATAAATATACATACATCCATGTTATAACATCTCGACCCCTGAGAGGGGCAAATTATGAGCCATAAAATGGAATCTGACGATCGGATATTGACATTATTATGAGCAAAGCACAAGCAATCCAAAATTAACCAAATATTCCACATAGAATTTTATCCGAACTAAAAGTCAATATGTCAGCGAGAGGAGATTAAATCACTAATATGCTGAAAATATGACCGCATTTAATAGATTCCTTAGTGCCATTAACCCTTTGTAATTGCGCAATCCTTATAGTTCACAGCTAATCGAATATATTGGGTAGATTCTGGAATATGTAAGGTGCTAATCTAGCGAAAAGAATATTTATAATCCATAGGTAGGCGGGTCTTTATTGCGTGCAGATTGTAATTATGAAACAGAACTGGACCAACAATACAGGATGCGTTTCACCCTAATCTTATATATAAACTACCCACACATAGGGTAGGAATTTGTTTGGGCACTTTTTTTTCTTAAAGCTAAATCAAAAAGCGGCCGACCACATTGGTAGGGTCGCAGGCGTATTCACCGTTCCGATTTTGAAGGATGTGCTCTGTCTCGCCTTACCTCCCCTGCCTTAAAACTATTTTTATTCGAACAACCAAATTGACAGCATAAGGTTAATTGCAAAAAGCTGCAAAAGGGAGTGATACTGTACTGCACTAGCACCTCACAACACTGCCACACTCCTAAAGCACATTGGTTATGGTGTCCTATCACCATGTAAAAGCGATTTCTATGTGTATTCGGGGCTTGATTTGTAATATATGGACTCGAATTTTAAAAGCAATGTCATAACAGCCTACAATTCAAGGGGATTTTTAAAATGTATTAGTTCTCGTGGGTTATGCAAGGTGCACTGCAGGCCAAGAGTCATGAACGAAGTGATGTCTTCATTGTTTGTTTGTTAATGTCACACACAGTAAATAGTGCAGTACTGTACTGGTACGCATTTGGTATTTGGTAAATGGAAATGTCGCATACTCTTCTTATGCTGAAGAGCTGAGTTCACGGCCGGTAATCACATTCAGTCTATTTCCCATTTGTGGCTTATTGTGGAAACATAAATTGACTAGCAGTGCATGACATGCAGAACAAAAATATTCTGCCTCTGAAATTAAATATAAATGTAAATTTCAGTTGACAGTTTGCTGTTTTGGTAGTTTTGTTTTAAAAATCGGCAGCTGAGCCACAGGTCTCCTACAAACCGTATGTTTGAGTTCTGGCTATTCCTTTATTTGACGTGTGACTGTTGCATGTATTTTGCAATATGTTGACAGCTGTAGCTTCCTCCGGTGTACAGTAGTAAACAATTTTAAATAAAAAAGAAAAACGTGATGTGAGTGAATCTCACGACGTGTAATAGAGTAAGTGGAATATTTTCACGAGCTGATGCGCAAAATGCATCTTTTCGGACAGCAAAAAGCTGCAAAACACAGGAAAGCACTCAATCCGGTGAAAGTGTCCTGTCTGTGAATAGAAACCGGTATTTTTAAGGAAATGATGTTGTCGTCCACGGTTATGGATTTCTCGTAAAATCAGAATAATTTGAAGTAATAATGATTACACGGTTACAATTGTATCACAGCTCGAGTGCATCTGTTTTTTTGTGTTTGAAAATCACCTTTCAGAGAGGCCTGGACAACATACAATCTCCGTTGCACAACAACACTGGACACTTCAAGACCATTAATTTTCACTGTTTTGGTTCACAGAGCAATGCGATTCTCCAGAATAATCTGTTTGAAACAATTAAGATTTTTTTTAACCCTTTTCTTTTAACCCTATCGCCTCGCAAGAGCACATCACACACACACACACATATATATATATATATATGCATATATATTTATTCATTTCTATTTTTATTTGCTAACCCTTCTCTAACCGAAGCAATTTACTTACCCCAACGGCTCCGCTTCTAAATCAAAAGTGCACAGAAAATGTGTTGGTCGAATTTAAAACTAGTGGCAACTCAATTAAAATCGAAGGGCTGTCGGGATATGTTCGCTGCATCTTAAAGAGTGGATGAGTAGCTGTTGTGACCTGCGGTGGGTGGCGAGAACTTTTACTCGGGATCATTTTGGGTCCACGTACGCATTCTTTTGCCACAACAACAACAAGAAGAAGAAGAAGAACAACAACAACAACAAAAAGAGAGAGAGAGAGAGAGAGAGACCATCCACTTAAAACAAATCACAGCTCCGGGACTCGAAACGTACGGTTTTATGTGAAATGTGTGTCGTTCTCTTGAGATAGAAATTGCACGCGTCGGTTTGACTCGACTCAGGAGCTAAATCTGCCTGTCAAGGTTTGTGTTTTTTTTTCTCTCTTCTCTCTCTCTCTCTCTCTCGCAACACTCCTCACGGTGGCAGGAGACCGGCCTCGCGAGTGCCCATTATTTTTTTTGTGTGTGTGTGTGTGCGCGGATCGGGCAAGAGGATGAATGCGCTGGGAAATTTTATACTTTTTTTTTAATCCCCCCCACCAAAAAAAAATATATCGTGCGTCGATTGCAGCTTTAAAAAAAAAAGAAGCGTTCGGGGGAGGGGAAGAGGGGGGTGAGGGGGGGTGGTGGTGGTGGTGGCGGTGGGTGGGAGGAAAAACAAAAACGGTTACTGTCGTTTTAAATATGAATTCAAAAAAGTTGGAACGGGGACTCGCGCTGACTGGGAGCGAACAACACAACACAACACGGGCTCCCTCCCCCCTCCCTCCCACCACCTATGGTGGTGTCGGAGGAGCACGTGAGTGATTGACATCCGCCGCCTCCAATAGGAGCTGGCGGGCTGCCGGCCCAGGGCGTCGACGTGCGGGAAATTGGTCAATGGGATGCAGGAAGGGGGGTGGGGGTGGGAGAAGTCGGCGCAGGCGCAGTGGCGGCGCTGGCTGAGGTCAGGGCCAGCCTGGCGCTGATTGGCCGCGCTGCTGTGGCGTGCTTTTGCTCCTCGGGCTGCTGGCCTGTCAATCATCGCCTTGCCCCCGCCGCGCGCTGCCAGCTCCTCCGAGCTCCACTTACGCCTCGCACCAGCTCGTTACTATTGCTGGAGTCGGGAATGTCTTTCTCTCCTCCTCCTCCTCCACCCCCACCCCCAGCCCGCACCCTCTCTCTCTCTCTCTCTTTCCCTCACCCACCCACCCCGACCACCTTGTCGCAATAAGATTTCAGAATGCACCCTCCTGTCTGGGATTGCTGCCGTTTCTTGTTGTATTTTTTTTTGCACACACACACACATACACACATACAGGGGCCAGTTATTTTTTTTAAAAAAAGACAAAATAAGGGGTGGGGGAGGTGGGGACTTGAACAACTAACGTCTGCTGAGCAATTAAACTGTTTTGTTAGTTGGTTGGGGCTGAGCTGGAAGCATCATTTTGATCTTTATCAAGAAGTGGGTTCAGAAATATATTCAGGGACTAAAAGTGGGAAGACAGCTTTTCAAGAAGGTGGTAGGAGTATTTGTTCCGAAAATGTTGGGGAGATACTGTTGGCATCGAGGTGACTTGGTCAATCTCCTGAAGGATAGATACAAAATGTCAATCACGTAACTTAGTTTCCCCCCTTATAAATGCAGGCTTCCTCACTCAAATGAATCAATTACTTTTCAGTGTGGAAATGTGCCACTTTTTTGCAACACGATGGAAAAGCTGTAAGGTACTTTCAATAACCTTGACGCTCGTAAGTACAGTATTTTATTTTTTATTTTGATTTCTTGATGTGAAACAAACGTCAGCATCTCTTCACGCATTACAAAAAACACGAGAAATATAACCATTATTAAGGCAGGGTACAAGTCTGGCTCAGGACGCTCTCTCTTTCAAGCATAGCCTTATTTTTTNATGACAGGCAAAAAAAAAACTGGAAAAAAAACTCTACAATAAAGCATTTACAAATGCACATGAAAACGCCACTTTGGCTTAACGGAAAATTATCTTCTAGATTCCAAAAACATCAATTCTTTTAACATAAATAAGTTAGTATAATTTCTCAGTGTCTTTACAAAGTTATGTACACAGGTACATTTTAGATTTTTTTTTAACATACAATACACAGGTATTGTAGCTTGGCAGTTCAGAAAAACTTAACAGCATTGGAAAACTACACTGCTACTATTCAAGTCATACATTTGCTAGAGACTCTTGATGTTTTTTGAGCAACTTTCCCTCCGCCCCCCCCAAAAAAAAGACTGTTTATGTGCTACAAAAAAAACCCTATATACACAGGTAGTAAAAATCAGCCAAGTGATGAGGAAGAACCTAATTGCACAGCGCTACATCCACTCTAAAAGAGGCGGTTTAGTGTTCACTTGGGTTCAGTGCTTGGGCTCTCCTCCCTGGGAGAGGGAACGATATGTCTGTCTCTGAGGAGGTCCTCCTCGCTTCGTCAAGCACTGCCACGGATGAACAAGGAAAAGGCATCTTCATATCTGAAACAGAAGAGGGAATGTACAAGTTCAGTGCAACGTTTGGTAATGTAGCTTTAAATGTAACCGAGTGCCCACAGAGCTGGTTATTTATCACGTTGTAATCACTCGAATTATTTGGCACGATCACGCTGACCACTTAAAAACTCGGTAATTAATCGGGTACAGTTGGAAGAATCTGAATTCAACTTGGTACTGCGCCAGGCGATCGGTACATGGCAATACCCTTCCCCTGATCGCACGCAAATGATGAAAGCAATTCACACCTTTAGTCTCAAGAAGACAGCTATCATCGAGAACAGGAGCAACCTAGAACCAACCTTGGTTTCGTGTAGCCTTTAGTTTAACTGTATTGTACCCACAACTTGGGCTATCGGTTTGCAAGTCTTGGTTCAAGCAATCTTTTGCTAATGCAGGACATCAAATCACGTCAAGGAAGGCAGTTGGGTACATTGTTGCAAACATGAAACATGCGAGGTGTGTTTCGATTGCCAATTTAACTAACAGGCCCCCTCAATGTGTCAAACTTTCTAATGCAAGCAAAAAGGAATCACTCAATAAGTGACCCTTTCCAATAAGCTTTCCCTTTCCGATTATGTAAGGAGGGGGGGAGAGAGCGAGAAAGACCAGGCTCATCATTTAGCCACACTTTCCTAGAATACAATAGTGATTTAAATGGCGATTTCAAGCGGGGTTGGAAGCTGTTAAAGATTATTTGCGCAATTTTCGAAAGATGACCTCATTGGTGTGAGCTTATTTAATGGTATTTGTCAGAAAGAGAGAGAGAGAGAACACCTGTGCGCTGGATGCTAAAATGTGGGGAAAACTGATATCCATTGGTACAGAGGTCTGGTAACTTTTGTCTACATTTAAACCCAATATAAAATCAGGGAGAAATAAGGTACTTTGGGAGACAACTGTCTTATGGCCATCGTTGTTTTACAGTTTAAGAGGTCAAAATGGGCAGATGAGGGAAAATAAGCAGCATTTTAATCCATCATTATTTTCTCCTTCCCTCTCGCTTTTACATTATGTCTATTAGTCTCATGTGTTTATTAAGGCTGATGCCGTGTCTATTCCCCAAGTTGCCCTTCACTCAGAAGCATGTCCTAAGAAATTATGGAAACGTTGCAAAAGCAGCCACCATGTTTGTATAATATATATCTCTCTCTATGTATATATATATATACGTATACGAGCTCAATAACGTGATATATTCTCTCTCTCTCTATATATATATATAGAGTGAGAGAGTATATTATGTTATTGAGCTCGTATATGTATATATAGAGAGAGAGACAGAGTATATCATGTTATTGAGTTCATTTGTACTCTGTGTTTACTGAAAGATTTTAACACTTTAACTCCTGAAATAAGGAACGTATCTGCGCCCATTAAATAAGCCTCAAACCTACCCATTATTCTACCCCCTTTGTAAGAGAGGGAGCGGCCTTCACAACAACACACACACACACACACAAAAAAACACGTCCAATACATAAAGCTTAAAAAACACACACATTTTGTTGTGGTTATACACCACCCCCGCACAATCTGGGTATTACGTTGGTTTTGCAGCCAGCCTTTCGGTATTAAAGCCAATACAGTATCATTACATCTAATAACAATTAGTCATTAAAACTGTTCCCTACGTACTGGGAGAGAGAGAGAGAGGGAGAGGGAAGAGACACCAACACGTTTGGGCAGTGCAGGAGCCAGTGCATGATGTCTATTTGAAAGGCAGCTGCAAATGATCACCTGTGCATACGTGTCGCTTTGAAAATGTAGCAATGCAGAAGCCATCGGTGATATTGACAAGACAGTAAGTCGGGTCAACTTCCAACCCGAATTCCTCCGAGAGCTGGAGCTCACCGGTAGCGGAGCTCCGATGCCCTCTCTACCTTTAATTTTTGTTTTGTTTTTTTAAAAAAAAATTGCGTTACGTAACTTTACAAAACTCTTCTCTCTCTCTCTCTCTCTTTTTTTTTGTTGCTTGGACGGGACCACGGGGTTTAAGCCCCCAAAATAAAAGACGTACCTTGAGATTTGTTGTGTGTGTTTTTTTTTCTTTTATGTGTGATGTCCACTCGGAATCGATTTTTTCGGCGTTTGCTCGAAAGCACTCAGACTGGGAGAATTCGCTGACCACTCGGACTCTGCCTTCGTGGTGACCCTTTTCGCTTCTGGAGAGCAATCTGCAACGACGAGAGAGAGAGAGAAAGAAAAAAACACGCGCAATTGTGTTTGCCTTTCCTTTTTTTTAAAATTTTTTTTTTATTTTTTGCATTTATTTTTTGGATTTAAAGTGGCCATCGCTGTGTGTGTCTCTCTCTCGGTGGTGGAAGGTATTATTTACGCGCTTGTGTTTTGAAGTGGTGTTGCCATGTTCATCGGGAGGCAGTGACACCGCAATCCGAGCAGAGCTGTTGGGTGTCGTGTGTGTGCGTAAAAAAAACAACAACGGGGCTATTACAAATGCCTTTTTTGGGGGTTATTATTATAGATACAAAAAAAAAGGAGGGGGGGTTGTGGGGGGTGTGGGGAAGCCTTTGAAGTTGCAGTATCCCTTCCCAAACGTAGGGGAATTTCAAAGCTAAACGAGTCCGACCACGACGTGTATGTTTTTAGCCGATCAGCAAAAGTGTATGTGTGTGTGTGTGTGTGGAGGAGGAGAGGGGGAGAAAGAAAACCACTGTGTTTTGAGGGAGCGAGTGAGTGTGTGTGTTTGTGTGTGAGTGAGTGTGTGATTGTGTGTGTGTGTGAGTGTGTGTGAGTGTGTATGGGTGAGTGTGTATGGGTGAGTATGTGTGAGTGAGTGTGTGTGTATGAGTGAGTGAGTGTGAGTGTGTGTGTGTGTTTGCGAGGAGAAAGCGGTCAAGCAGCTCTGTTTGAAAATGGATCCTGCAGCTCCCGCACCGCACATCTCCGCCACTTACCGACTGACGCAGTTCGCTTGCGGGGAGCGGAGCACTGCTCCTTTGAGTCCGTACAGCGCTCGGCTGTCTCTTTAACCGCGTCGCTCCGCTCCGAGTTCGCAAAGTACGTATCCCCCGCCGCGTTTCCCTGAGCCACAGTTGTGCCAATGTAAACTATCGCACGGTTCCCGTTCACATCCACACCGCAATCCGCCGGCGACACTCGCTCCCGGGTCTGACGCCAGTAAAAATCCGGCACATCCTTGAAATCCACGGCTTCCCATTTGTAATTCCCATCCAACGGTTTGTCCCTCTCGAAGTCAAAATTCCACCTCAGGCGGTCCTGCTCGTGGCTCTCGTTGCGTTTCTTCTGCAGGTCGCGGCTCAGCTCGTCGTGGTCCACGGGGCCGAAGAGGCTCCTGCAAGCGGAGGGCTTCGGGTGCCCGGGTTGTTGGGCTGCCATTCTCTCCAGCGTTGGGCTACCATTGGAAATGCGTACGTTTGACATTTTTTTTTTGCCCCCCTCCCTCCCTCGTCTTCTTCTTCTTCTTCTTCTCTATCTCTCCTTTCGTTAAATCCCCCCACCCCCCCCCCCACCCACCCCCGCCCGCCCGCCCACCACCACCACCCAACCACCCCACCCCACCCCACTCTCCCCTGGCTGCAGATCACCCAAAAAAAGCCCCCGCCGACAGCAGAAACGCGGGGCAGTTCGGTTCCACAGCCCCAGAACCTGCAACAACAAACAAAAATGCCCAGAAGGCTTCTTCCGAAGGCGCAAAGGACCACAACAACACTCCCCAACCCCGACGAGCCTCTTTTTTTAAAAAAAACACACACACACACACACATATACACACACACACACACACACACACAACGTATCTCTCGTCAAAACTGTCTCTAGTAAAAAGGCGGATGAAAAAAAAATTGGGCTTTTTTTTTTCGGTTACCCAATATGGCGAAGGAGGCTGACGAAGAGGAAACGGGGTGACGGACAAGACGATTTAAAAAGGGGGAACCGTGCAATTGGCCTGAGCTTTGCAACAGCCCCGCCTTTCCCCTCCTCCCTCCCTCCCTCCCTCCCTCCTCCTCCCTCCTCTCTCGCAGCGCAGGGCTGGGACTCGAGAACGAGCTCACTCGGGGGCTCAGAGCGACCTCGCCATGATCTAAGCGTTGTGTTTATTGACAAGCAATCCCTCCTCTGTTCTCCTCTACCCCCTCCCCATCCCCTCCCCACATCTCCCCCTCCCTCCCTCCCTCTCTCTCTCTCTCCCTTCCCCCTCCCCTCCTCCCCCCCCCCTCCTCCTCCCCCCCAATCCCGATTGCGGTGGAAAGAGAGAGAGAGAGAGAGAGCTACAGAGGCTCCCGGAGTAATAGTAATAGTAATAGCAGCGAAGCGTGAAAACCCCGGCGGTGAGGCAGCGGCAGCTCACAGCGCCATCCTCCTGACAGCTCAGGCAAACGCACAGCCCCCGGAGGGCGGTCTCCCAAACCTAACACCCGCTAAACAACCTATTGCATCACTTGCACAAGATGTGATTAACTCGTCGCTTTTGAAAGAGTCGACTTTTTTTTAATATATATTTTTTTCTCTCTCTCTCTCTCTCTCTGATTAGATCGTGTTTTTCTTTCAGGGCGCGAGGATGACTGGAGGTCGAACGCCTCGCGACATCTCCAGTTTTGCGTTTTTTATTTAAAAAAAAGAAAGCTTCCACTCCCAGAATCTGTATCCGATATTCTTTTATTTAGTGAGTTAGTTAGTTGCATATATATGTATGTGTGTGTATATAACACAGCTGCACCTTTTCCACCGGGAACTGTGCGTTTAACAAACTTGTCCATTGCACATTCTTGGAAGTTGCAACAAGACCTTAGCAGAGGGGGACGGCGGCTGAGCAAGTTTGCCCTGGAAGGGTTAATGTTGCAGTGCGCTGGCTGTACTGCATTTAAATTGATGGAACAGTTTTACACGATACAGAAGTACAGTAAATTGTTCTCGTGACTGTTTTTTTTGTTGCAGGCTGGCCCAAAAAAAGATCGTTTTGCCCAGTAATTCATTCCGTGTTGTGCATTTAATCCGCATCATCTGAAACTGGACGGCTGAGTTGACTGAATGAGTTTTTTTAAAAAATTTATATACAGTACAGAAATCAGACAGTGGCAGCAGAGGCACTAAATAAAATCACCTCGGGTTTTGAACTGAAGCAACTTTTGAAGTTTTAACATGATGGACACCCTGACATTTGACTGCACAGCCAGCGTCGAGCGAGCAGGTTTACTGCACCATAATGCATGGACATTCAGATATCAATTGCTTTCCACAAATCCGTTTAAGGGCTCTTAAAAATGCAAACTATTTGAGAATGCAAATTATATTTGCGGAATTACTGCGTGTCCCAGGATAGAGCTGCTGAGAGTGAATGCACTCCCAATATTTAGCTTGTATTGTAGATCGATGTGAAGTGTACATTTATACTCCCCCACCCACCTTCCCCGTATTACTCACGTTTTTACTCCAGTACAGCATTGAAAGTATCCCTCCCCACCCCCCACCCCCCCCCCCCCACCCCCTTCCCACCCCAAAAAAACACCAAAAGGTTCATTTGTGCCCAGTTCCCATCATCGACGTCAATAACACTCGATCCCAGTGCTCAGCGCCGAGAGAGAAGTGCAATGAAACGGATCTGTGGTGTTTGGCTGCTTTTCCAGGATCCTGGACTCAGCCTCGAGAAGTGCAAGAGTTAACGTGAACAGCGCAGAGCTTATGTTTGTGTTGTGCTCGTGTCTGGAATCAAACGTTTCACGGAACCAAAGAACTTCCAGCCAAACCTGGGTGTTTTGCAGTTATTAGCGGAGTGGTGTGTGTGTGTGTGTGTGTGTGGAGTTGCTGCTTTGCTTTGCTTTGTTTTCTTTTCCTTTCTTTTGATAACTTGCTGAAGCAAAACCGTTACTCTTGTCAAACCTCCTGTGAAGAGTTAATTTGTAGCTCGTTTTCAACTGTATGTCCAGCCACAAACTAAAAACACAGTCAGACCCCCCCCCCCCCCCCCCGAGGCAATTATATATTGATATGTGTGTGTGTGTATATATATACATATATATAAAGCCATTTCAATTAATGTCTATACTCTGTTTAACCCTTTTGGAGATTTTTTGTTTCTAGGGAGAACAATCCATTCTAATCTTACAGATTATTTTTGGTCTCTCAAGCGAAAACACTTGGGAGAAAAAAATGCGTTATGTTATGTGATAATATCACTGGCAATAATTATGAAGTATTGCACCTCTCTCTCTCTCTCGCTCTCTCTCTTCTCCCCGCTACACTGAGAACTGACAAGTATCCGCTTGGAGCTAAACTATGAGTGACGGGAACCTGAAATTGTATTGTATTTGTATTTGTACAAATTATATTTATACCATTTCCCAAAGTAGGCTCAGCTGCGGAACCTGCTAAATAAAGGTTCACTTGGGGGTAGGATCAAACCCATGAATTGCCCCCCAAAAAATCATCAATGGCACACACAGGATGTTGCATGTATTCAGAATGTGTAAGCCAGTCCCCAGTTAACTTCTCGTTGGTGGCAATTTGGATGTATGCCAGCAGCGTGGAGTTGAATCTAACACAAAATCTTCCCTCCAAAAAAAAACACGACCATGCATTTTCATCTCTCTCATTCCACCCCCACCCGCACACACCTACACCTATACACACCTTGAAATGCTGCCTTCAGGTACAACTCCTTGGATGTGCGAGGGTTCCAACTTCTTGGCTGTGACAAATCTGGGATTTGCTATTTACAAATCTTGAAATTTAGCCCACAACACTGTTGTGGATATGTTAAAGTGTGTGTGTGTGCAAGCGTGCATATCCATTTTTTTTTAAAATGCACTACTTGAGGGCACTATAATTGATGTCACTGATCAGCGATTCTTTCTGGAGAGTCAGTATCCTGCACTAAACCTGCAGTCAAATAGATTTGCTGTGCACAAGTTGGCCACTCTACTGGCCTGCAAAATACACAGTGCATATATAGGTATACAGTATATCCTGTGAAGTGCTTTGAGTCATCCTCCCTACATGAAAGGTACTATATTCAACTGTAAGTATTCTTATTGTTAGATTGTTAATTTCTCAATATATTGGCTCACATGTTGTCATTTGCGTAAATTAACGGTTGGTAATCATTAAACTATACCCACTGTTCAAAGTGGAGTGGATAAAATTGATGCTTGCTTATATGCTGTATTGTGCCAAGTAAAATACAACTGGTGCAGTGAATGAATCAATTGAATTACATTGTATTACATTTATGTGAAACACGTTGAGTTCAGATCTTGTGGTGTGATCATTGTTAAGTATTTAAACTAAAACATTCAGAAATAGATAGATTCTGTTAACACTTTGTTTTCTTTAAAAAAACAAGTTGAGACTTCTCATTAATATTCAATATTCAACAGAATATCAAAAAGGCAAAAGCCCTTTTAAAACCTGATTTTGTGTTCATCATGTTGAGGGATGCTAGTGGTGGGATATGGAACACATTGTATTTATGAACCTGTATTACTGCCAATTATGTGAGAGGAGGAGGAGAAGGAAAATGCGGAAATCTGGGCCTTTGTTTTTATACTTCCAAGCCATTACAGTATGTGTACACAATGTAAATCTGTGATTTGAACATGTAAAGGGATCGGTTTGTTCCATGAATATAATACGAATGGACTGGTGTCTGTGACAATATAGTTTCTGTTTCAAATTTGCTTTGATGTCATAACTGTCAATCCCATGGATAAGATGTTAAACCGAGGTCCCACCTGCCTGTTCAGGTGCGTTAAAGATTCCATGGCACTATTCAAAAAAAAAAGAGGGAAGTTTCTCATGGTTTTCTGGCCAACAATCCCCCTGATATAATTAGCCACTCATATTATGGGTGTTTGTGGGACATTGCTGTGTGCAAATGGCTACCATGATTCACCTACAAAATACAGTCACTACACTTTGCAGTAAATCCTGTGAAGCACTTTGAGTTGTCCTCCCGGTGTGAAAGGTTATATCAAATGCAAGGATTATTATTATCTTCCATAGGCAAGTTTCCTAACTCCACATGCCTCTGTTTACCTAGCAGTAAGTAGGAACCCAGTTGGTAGTCGATTGGCAGATCACTTCTCCTATGCATTTCTATTCACTTCTCCTCATGTACTTATCAAGTTTCAATGTTGAAAAAAATAAATCCACTCTTACTGTTTTCACAAATATTAATTTTTTAAAAATGCACTTACGAATAGAAGGCCAACTGAATTCCATTTAATTTTGAATTTGAATTCTCTCTCTCGGCTTGTCTCCTTGAACATTCTCTCTCCTCTCTGTCTCTCTCACACTCTTCTCTACATGTTATATTTTTCAAGCCTCCAATGACTCATTCTGTTCTGAGGCCCAAATAATAAATTGAGCTTTATGGACATTTAGTGCTCTCTGAGGCGCCCAACACTTTGACGTTCACCACATGTAAAATTGGTTATCTGTTGCTTAATAGTCAAAGTTGCCTGA